TTGGGAGTACTTACTTGAGCTCGGTTGATTGCATGCACCACACCCTTTTCCTCTTTTCAAAGTTCTTTTCTTTCTAAAATTTCATTTTGCTTTTCTAAAACTCTTTTCTTAAAAAAAAATCGATTTTCCTTTTTTGAAAATTTTTATACCATTTCCTCAGTTTGAGTTCAGACACACCCGAGGGTGGGTCCAAATCCCTCAAACCAAGACTCTGATACCAACTTGAAACATCCCAAAAATACAAGCCAAAAAAAATTTGTTTGAAACATTACCAAACCATAACATCCGAATATCATATAAGAAAACCATAAGTCGTGTATCTCAAAATGTCATAAAATATGTCTCATATCAAAACTGATGTGAAGATCATGTCAAAAATATCAGAGTCTAACTCCCAGGCTAAAACTGTGGTGTGTGTCATGCCATCATCCCGAGCCCTTCCCCTTGCTAGCTGAAGTACCTGAAATCAAACTGAAACTGTAAGCACGAAGCTTAGTGAGCTCCCCCAAACTACCACATACCATACAATAACACATATAGCACATACTGGGCCTTGCCCACTGCATCAGACCGAAGTCTGGAACTAACTAGGGCCTTGCCCACTGCATCGGACCGAAGTCCGGAACTGACTTGGGTCGTGCCCACTACATCCGACCGAAGTCCGGAACTAACTAGGGCCTTGCCCACTGCATCGGACCGAAGTCCGGAACTAACTAGGGCCTTGCCCACTGCATCGGACCGAGGTCCGAAACTAACTGAACATAGCATAACATAATCATAACATATAACATAACACATATACTGCATACTGCATCGGACCGCAGTCCGGAACTCACAACACATAAACATGCCTGAATCACAAAGACATCAAGCATACTGAACTACTGTTCGGGACCACCCCGACATCGGACCGCAGTCCGGAACTACTGCTAACTAAATGGGCTGACATTGTGGCCTTAGACCCGTTCCTACTAGAAGAAAACTCACCTCGTAGGGCTGACTGCTGAAGTGCTGTTCGGGAAACGTCTGACTGCTGCTCCGGTAACTCCCCGGCTACAATTCCCATAAAGACACTTAATCAAATACTTATAACTAATCTTAGGGTAAAGTGATTATTTTACCCCTTAGTCAAAATCAACACCCTGGTCACAGTCAACATCCAGTTGACCTGACTCGCCGAGTTGGACCTCCAACTCGTCGAGTCCTTGTCCTCTCGTCCAGTTCCTGCCCGATCCTACCCGCCGAGTTTAGTGAAGACTCGACGAGCTTCCCTACTATAATGGCATCGAGTCATCCTTCATCCGACTCGCCGAGTTGTATGAACAACTCGTCGAGTTCACCTTCATCATATGAACTTGTCCAGACTATGACTCGTCGAGTTGTATGAACAACTCGTCAAGTCTGTTCTTGAGGGTAAGAAGATTGCCTTGGACTCGCCGAGTTAAGGCGTAGACTTGCCGAGTCCCTCTACTTCCAGATCCTTGTCCTAACTCACCGAGTCCTTTCCACTCACTGGTTCAACTCACAACTTTCAGATCGGGAAACAATCGGGGTTAACGATCCGACTCGCCGAGTCCTGTGTATGTCTTCACTATACAATCGACTTCAATCGATTTCAGTGCACCCAATTCGTGGATCTAGGCTTCTAGGGCTGGGTTTACACGTAAAGTTGCCAACTTTACATGCATGCACAAGGGTAGGAAGCTAAAACACCAAAATAAGCTAGAAATGGGAACATAGGGTTAGAAACAAGGCCTAGATGGCATAAAGGTAGCTACTTTGAGTTCCTGGAGCTCAATAATATCCAGATCTATGGTTCATTCTCCTAAGAGAGCTCAAATATCGGGTTTGGACCTTGAAATGTCCCAAAAGTAGTAAAAACAAGCATATATGAAGATCTAGTAGAAAGATAAGCAAGGTAAGGGCTTTATTACCAGAAGGTGTAGTAAATGAGGACTAGATTCTGGATCTCCTTCTTCTCCTTTGGACCTTCTCTCCTTCCTTCTCTTCTACAACTCCAAAATTGCACACAAAACACTTTAATTAGAAAGGAATCACTCAAACTCAACAATGGAGGGCTAGGGTTTACAGGGGAAACGTTCTAAAGATGCTGGAGGCTGGGATGGAGCTATAATGACGTTTAAATAGGGTGCAAACCCTTAAAATTAGGGTTTCTTCCAGGCTGGCGGACTCGCCGAGTCGAGAATACGGACTCGCCGAGTCGAGAATACGGACTCGCCGAGTCGCCACCGCTAAATCCACGTGCAGACTCGCTGCTACTCGACGAGTTAGGGCTACAGACTCGTCGAGTAGCTTCTAAAACAAGGAGAATAATAAATAAAAAAAATGCGTACCAGGAACGGGGCGTTACAGTGTAGCTATCGATGAGATTTACAACTTTCATTTAGACTCTGTTGGCTAATTTTAACTTTATTTTTAAAGTTATATTTTTAACAGGTTTAGACTGTTAAAATCCGATAAAATTTCATAACTCTCTCATATGATATCCTTTCTCGACTGTATCTATATTGACGAGATCTTTAACTCTCGTTCAGATTGTTTTTCCTAACAATCATCTGATCTCTAATTTGGTTTCTAAGCCGTATATTGTTGCGCTAAAACTTCGAAAAATCATAACTTCCCTTTACGAAATCAGATTTGGATGTTCTCTATATCCACACTCCCGGTTTAGTGACTACTACAAGTTTTTTTTAAATCACTTAGGCTAAAAAGGTAATTTATCATAACTTCACTTTTTACGATACACAAAGTCGTGCCGGTTTAATCGTGAAACTTTAAAGAAGCATAACTTCTTTATACAAAGTTGGATTTCGGTGTTCTTTATATGTACAAAATCCTTGTCACATATACTATGAATTTGGTTAAGATTACTTTTCCTAAATAATCTTCTATTATAAATTCATTTTTTTAACGTTTATTATCTTTAAATTGACTAACCCGAATCTGTGGGTGTTACATAACAACATTTTCGTTTGCGATCTACGGTTTCATCACCCCTCTCCAATTTCACCATAATCACATAAATTAATAGTTAAGGGGATATGATTACTTTAAATTTCCAATTAGTAGATCTAGATACTTAATCTCCATGAATCTAGCTCCAATCTAAATTCAAGATCACCAGTTTCACTTTCCCGTACTCTGTGATACGTACGAGTGAAAAATAATGAAACAAAACCTGACTTAAGACATTAAGTACAACATCTACACTGAGTCGGCAAATATGTGTCGCATGCATATCTTTTACGTGTCTTGTGCGAGTTAGTTGCATTGTATTCCAATCTATGTCCGTCGTGTTCTCTTTCAATCATAGCATTGTACTTACAGCATGTCGCGTCACTTCTACATTATGTGTCGTGTTTAGTAAAGTATGTTACCACCCTTAAATTAGCAATGTATACGTCCAATAAACTCTATGTGTCGCATTTACTAATAGTACACATCACACCCTCCTTCTCCCAATCAAAATGTTGATCTTGCAACACGTAGTGCAATCCTCATGTACGCGTCGTGTGTTAGACATAAAATAATACTCAATGTTTATACTACATTCTCTTAATGATTGTGCACTCACGCACATCTAACACACGCACTGAAGCAAGGTTCACGTTTCATTCCTCTTACTTGTCCTATAGGCAAGCTACACCCCTTATAATAATATTTTCTATGTAAAACAGATGTTAGAGTTAGAGTTAGAATTAGAGTTAGAGTTAGAGTTACAGATAGAAAGATGGAAGGGGGGAGAGTTTTATAATAAATGAGATGTTGAATGGGTAAAAAGACCAAATTACCCTCATGTGCCATGCACATGAGGGGTATTGACGGTAAGAAACTATTGATGATTAGTTTGAAGGACTAAAGGTGCTTATTTAGTTTGAAATATAGACCGAACTTATAACAATGGTGATAACTGGACCAAAAGTGTCATATTGAGAAAACCACATGGACGAAAGGCATAATTCATTCTTAATATTATTATAAGATTAAGGTGGCATGAGGTTTCTTCTTGTATCCTTGATTCCCTATCCACCTTAAGTGAAGACAAATTTTGGCAAAAAGCACTTTTGGAATAGAGGAGAAAGACAAAGTGCTTTTCTTTTATTCAAATTAGGTGAAAATAAAACAGGACACTGTTCTTCACAAAATTCACATATTCTCCTGCAACACTAGGCGACACAAAATCGGTGAAGATAAAAACAAATCTCACGCCATTTGTCTCCTATCTCTCTTTTATTCACACTGCATCTTTGAACCAAAGAACAAACCGCCTGACTGACTAGCTTTTAATTCATTGAAATCCCAACTGTTCCTTACTTTCTCTCTCTACAAAATCTCCCAAAATTCTTATTTAATGTTGTTATCTGAGTTCAATTGAGGGGATTGCTTCGAGATTTTGAGGTGGGTTTTTGATGAATTTCAGAACCCAGTAAAGAATTTTTGTTCTTTTGGTTGTTGTAGGTTTTAACTCAACCCCCAACTGTTCGTCCTTACTTTCTCTATCTAGAAACCCCTAAACTCACTTCAAGGCCCTTATATTCTTCCAATTGAGAGTGGTTTTCATGAGATTCGAATTGGGGTTTTCATGAATTTCAGAAACCCAGTAAGGAATTGCTCTTCGCTTGATTGTTCCAGCTTCTAATTCCTCCCGCAAAGTCATTTACACGACAACCCTTGATTGAATTGAGGGAATTTTCATGGGATTTGAAAGGGGTATTTGATGATTTTGGAATACTAACAAACAATTACTGTTCTTTCGATTTCTTGGGTAGTTCTTCTCCACGAAAACTCTCCCTGGTACTACTCTTTCTCTCTTCTTTTTCTTCTGAGTTATTTCTCTGTTCTAATTACCAAAACCCCATCCATTATCTGTAACTTAAACCAATTTAGCTTCACTTGTTCTTAGAATTGAATTCTAGTTTCAAGCAGAACCCAATATCCGATTTCTGAGAAACAAAAAACCAGATTCATATAGAAATCCAATGTTTCAAGATGATGGGTCATCATCTGTGACTTCAACACCCGTCCAAACCTTCCCATCAATGTCAATCTCACCTCTCACAGGATCGCCATATCCATGGCTCAAAGAACTCAAATCAGAAGAACGAGGTTTATGTCTAATCCATCTACTCCTCACTTGCGCAAAACACGTAGCTTCAGGAAACTTCGAACATGCCAACATCGCTCTCGACCAAATCTCCCATCTCTCCTCCCCAGAAGGCGACACAATGCAAAGAATCGCCTCATATTTCGCAGAAGCACTCGCGAATCGAATCCTCAAAACATGGCCAGGAATCTACAAAGCTCTTCATTCCACCAAAATCCCATTCGCATCCGAGAACATTTTGGTTCGAAAAATGTTCTTCGAATACTTCCCTTATCTAAAAGTAGCATTCGTTATCACTAACCAAGTGATAATCGAAGCTATGGAGGGCGAAAAGATCGTTCACGTGATCGATCTTAACTCCTCCGAGCCCACTCAGTGGCGTGCACTCTTACGTGACCTGAGCGCACGGCCTGAGGGCCCACCACATCTACGCATCACCGGGGTCCACCAACAAAAAGAAGTTCTAGACCAAATGGCGCGTATTTTAATCGAAGAAGCCGAAAAACTCGACATCCCATTTCAATTCAACCCCATTTTGAGCAAAATCGAGAATCTTGATTTCGAGAAATTGAATGTGAAAACGGGTGAAGCTTTAGCGATTAGCTCGGTTCTTCAACTCCATTCATTATTAGCACCCGAGGAAGTAACACTAACAACCAAGGACACAAACGGAATTTCACAAAAGGATTTGGGAAACGGGTATAGCCCGAGTCAAGACACGGCTTCATCTTCACCTTTTTTGAGCTCAAAAATCGACTCGTTTTTAAATAGTTTACGTGGGTTATCACCAAAAGTCATGATTGTAGCCGAACAAGATTCGAATCACAACAAATCGTCTCTCATGGAGAGGCTATCAGAATCTTTATACTTTTATGCGGCTTTGTTTGATTGTTTGGAGTCTACATTACCAAGAACATCAATGGAGAGATTGAAAGTTGAAAAGATGTTGTTTGGAGAAGAGATCAAGAATATTATAGCATGTGAAGGTAGTGAGAGAAAAGAGAGACATGAAAAGCTTGATAAATGGGTTCAAAGGCTTGATTTGAGTGGATTTGGGTGTGTGCCTTTGAGTTATTATGCTTTGTTGCAAGCTAGAAGATTGGTTCAAGGGTATAGTTGTGATGGGTGTCGGATTAAAGAAGAGAATGGGTGTGTGGTTATGTGTTGGCAAGATAGGCCACTTTTTTCGGTTTCTGCGTGGAAGTGTAGAAGGTGAAATATGTTGGGATTTAGATTTGGTTTTGTTATTGTGATGTTTTTTTTTGTTGTTGTGTTTCCCTTTTTGTTTTTGGTGTATGGGGGATGATTTAGATATGGATAGTTGTTGGTTTTAAAATAGTGAATCTAATGTTGTTAGTGCTTTACATAACAAAATGAATGCTTTCGGAAGCTTTGCTTCATGACTTAATGGCGTATGAAAAGTTATTGTGTTGGGTTGATGATATTGAATGTAGTGGTTGTATCATGTTAAAATATTTGGTAGCTATTCAATGATTTGCTTTAATCCAGTAGCATAATGAGAAGACCATGTTGTAACTTGGAATCCTATCATGGAAGCCTATGAATTTTGCCGTATGTTTGACAAAAATGGTCCTTGTTTTTGACTTTTTGTTGTATGTAGTTTGTACGCGGTTTGAAAATGGGGATCATGTAAATGTTATCTCTAGATGAAAATGAGAGAATGTGTTTTAGAGGAGCCAATTAAAATTATGTAGCTAATGAAACCAGTGTTATGTTGAATCTTTTTTATATTGTAAAATAAACAAAAAAGTCAAGTTAAATGAAGTTAGAAGCAAAGTTGTTAAAATTTCGATTAGAATCCTACGATCTTTCTTAGGTAAATCGTTTATGATCATACCGTTTTTGGGTAAGATCAGAGTTAAGATTGTAAGATCGTTATTGTTGTTTTTTAAATTTCTAATATTTTATTTTGGGCTAACTGAGTGAATCGGATATGAATCCTAGAAAACTCTTTTGTATTGTTTAGAATTATAATGATGTATTGCAGATGTATTATTTATGTTTCAAACTATTCATTGTTAGTTTGAATGATTGATCCACAGATGAAAATGTAGTTTTCATGTTTTAAAAATACTTAATGAGAATCTTATGATCCTGATTTGATTTTGTGATTACTAAATTTCAAAGTGAAAGATCCAATCTTTACAATCTTGGTTTGAAGTGATTAGAAAATTACCATAAATAAAATTATGAAATAAAAACATATTTCTTTTATGGTTAAGGTTAAAAATCAAGTAATCTTATTTTCCATATTTCTGAAATTGGTCACCAAAGGTTTTTTATAGCATTGAGTTGATCGGCTAATCTACATATCAATTTTTTCTTTTGTCCATGTAAAGTCCAATATGTCATAAGGGGCTAATCCAAGTATATGAAAAGTGGGTCTCAGGCCCATCTAAATTTTTAAAATTTTATTTATTTATGCAAACAGCTAAAAGATTGTGCTTCTAACCCTTACTAAAGCTTGACAACGCACATGTTTTTCGTCCCTAGTTTTTCCTGGTTCCTAATAAAATCAAACAACTTCCATTCTAATTGTCATCTTCATCTTCGTCGCAATAACAACATAACAACACTTTTGAAATGGCCTAATTTTAGGGCTATACGTTTGATTAAATGAATTAAACCATGGTCAAAAACTATAAACGAAACACATATTAATTGTCAAGCTCAATCATAAATTTTTATGAGCCAAAATAAAACTGATGGTAAAAAACTACGGACGACACGGATTTTTCAAAGTCTTTAGTAGGGTGCGGACTAGGGCCGAGTTATGTCGTTGAGTAGGCTTCGAATTCAGCCTCTTACTTGGATCTTTAAGCCTCAAATTTGGTCTTCAAGTTTTTCCAATAAAAAAAAAACAAAAACAAAAGATCTTATCTTCTAATACTTACAACTTTGAAGGAAAATAATACAAGAAATTAGAGATTAATCAAATAAAATTTTAAATTACAAAGGCACCAAACATGCCAAAAATAAACCATAAAACAAACCAACCAACAACACATAAAATTAAATATACAATATAATAGTTTTGTAAATATGTTCATGATGTGCATTGAAGTTTAAAAATGATAATAGGAGTTTATTACTGACGTGGCTCCAAGAAACTTTATCTTCTAGTACTTACAATTTAGAAGAAAAATAATACAAGAAATTAGAAATTAATCTAATAAATTTTAAAATTACAAAAGGCATCAAACATGTCAAAAAAAAACCATAAAACAAACAGAGCAACCAACAATACACAATAACTTTTTCCTAAATGTATTATAATAATAGTTTTATAAAGATACTCATCATGTACGTAGAAGTTTAAGAATGATAATAGGAGTTTATTACTGACGTAGCTTCAAGAACAATATAACTCCAAAACTTTATCTTCTAGTACTTACAATTTAGACGAAAAATAATAAAAGAAATTAGAGATTAAGCTAACAAATTTTAAAATTACAAAAGGCACCAAACATGCCAAAAAATAAACCATAAAACAAACCAAGAAACGAACAACAAATTTTTTTTTAAATGTACGATATATTAGTTTTGTAAAGATATTCTTGATGTACGTCGAAGTTTAGGCATGAGGTTACTATTGATGTGGCTACAAAAACACTATAACTCCAAACTTTTGCAAGAAAAAAATGGTAGTTTTTTTTTTCAAAATTGCTTTAAACATTTGGTTAGTTTACTCGTAATATAATTCTTACAAATTAAAACTTATGTGAGGGATAATGTTACCGTAGCCTTATAAACTCTTTGTTTTTTGTTTACAAGGTCCCCGACGTTATTTTGACACTGTAAGGGAATAAAGTATTAATTGACCTGCTAAGAAGGGTATTAAACTTTTTTTTGCCTAATTACATGTACTAACAAGCCTGTGAAGGAAGGATTTGGAGAGATTAAGAGGGATTAGGAGGGGGGAGCATGTTCTTTAGTTTTTTTAGGGAGAGAAAGAGAAGGAAAGGAAAGGATTTGAGGGGGGAGCTCTTATAGCTACTTTATACATAAACTCACCCCCTCAATTTTAGGCGGATTGGAAAAGAAAGCGACAAAAGACTATTTTACCCTTATCTTCCTCTCTCTTACTTATTTCTTTGATGAAGCTTCATCTGATGAACCCTAAATAGGGTAAAAACATCATTTGATGGTAAAGCTTCTTTCCCTCCCCTTCAACTCGATAACACATCTATCCCCTCCTCTTTCTCCTTCCAACTTCTTCCCTTTCTTCCTTCTCCCTCCCTTTCCTCCCCCTCTTTAAAATTTAAACTCGAAAACATAACGTAAAAGATGGCATGGCATGCATGTGATATTGTTGTGCTTTAGGCTGTAAAATCAAGTCACGAGTAAGAAGACCAAAATCTTAAGTTTTTAACTAGGTAATTGTAGTTTCAATATATACATAAGTTTGTAATTTATTTACCCAATCATTATAATTCATATTAAAAAGGAAATTAATTAAACAAAAGATTCATGCTCATATTCTTCTTCCTTCACACCTTTTATGTGTCAGACGTTGCCAATATTGTCCTCGTTGTCAACCTCCGCTTAGGTCTTCTACTACCCTTCTATTGCCTTTGTCGGCCATTAGGGGTGAGCATTTGGACCGGTGGACCGGACCGGACCGTTTTTTTGGACCCCCGGGACGGTTTTCGGTTCTAGGAATCTATCAAAACCGGTCCGGTTTTTTTACCGGGTTTAGAACCGGTTGGACCTGATTTTTAATTTTTTTTTGTAAACTTTAAACAACTATAACTCATTCATTTTAAGTTGGATTGACACGCGGTTTTTTCCAACGTTTAATTTACAGTTTCTAGATGAATTTAGACTATAATTTTGTTGATTTTGGTATTATATTCAATGAGTTACAGTCTTTCAAAGTTGAGCTATCAAAGCTGAAAATTTTCAGCTTTTCAGCAATGTTTTTAAAATTTTGTAATATGTGAAAATTTTTAAACAACCATAACTCATTCGTTTTAAGTCGGATTGACACGTGGTTTTTTCCAGCATTTAATTTACAGTTTGTAGATGAATTTAGACTATAATTTTGTTGATTTTGGTATTATATTCAATGAGTTACAGTCTTTCAAAGTTGAGCTATCAAAGCTGAAAATTTTCAGCTTTTCAGCAAGATTTTTAAAATTTTGTAATCTGTGAAAATTTTTAAACAACCATAACTCATTCGTTTAAGTCGGATTGACCAGCGGTTTTTTTCAACATTTAGTTTACAGTTTGTAGATGAATTTAGACTATAATTTTGTTGATTTTGGTATTATATTCAGTGAGTTACAATCCTTCAAAGTTGAGCTATCAAAGCTGAAATATTTCAACTTTTTAACTATTATTTTAGATTATAATTCTGAATTTTATGTATCTTTGACAGATAAATCATATCAAAGGGATTTTGGTGAACTTGATTTATATGTTAGTTGCTTGTATTTGGAAGTTAATGTAAGTTATAATATTATAACATCAAGGTAGATTAGTTATGCATGAAACGAAAACGTAATCATTTTTACAAGTTGTATCGTATCAAACCCAATAACGTATTCATTTTAACGAGTTCTATCAAACCCAAAAACTTATTTTAACGACTTGTACTCTATGCAATTAAAGTTGTACCGGTCCAAACGGGTCCAAGAACCGGAAAACTCGGACCCGGACCCGGACCCGGACCCGGACCCGGACACGGACACGAATACGACACATCCGGTCCGGTCTACGGTCCACTATATTCTCCATAACCGGTCCGGTCCAAGAGTCGGTCCGGTCCGGTTCGGTCCAAATGTTCACCCCTATCGGCCGTAACAAATACCTTGTACTTATCTCTTATTAAACAAGAAAATACCGATTACAAATTTTATTTACCATGTTTTGACCATGGTCACTTCTTCTATGATATTTGTTGTCAATGGCGAGTTTACACTATGGTAAGGTGGGTCCTTTGACCCAATTAACTTTTTAAAACATACAACAAAGTATATACCAAAAATATTATGACCTACCTTATACCTTATAGTATGTGACAGAAAAGACAAAAAAAAAAAAAAGTATTAGGACCTACGTTTAGTGTTGGACAAAAAAAAGAATATATATATATATATATATATATATATATATTATATATATATATATATACTAGCCGTTACCCGCGCAAAGCGGCGGCGGCGAATAGTTTTTTTCGGCAATATATTTCTT